GGGTTTGAACTGCCAGCCTTTTGGTTAGCAGTCAAGTGCCTTAGGCACTATGCTACCAGCTCTAGAATGGTACCAGCTCTATAATCTTGGGGGGAATTGAGAAGGAATCACTCAAATAATTTTTATCCAGGGCTTAATTTTCTCATAGAATCATGGTTGAGAAAAGTTAGATTAAGGTGATCTGGGATTGCTCATCCATCCTCCCTAGTCACCAAACAAGCTGGAGGGAGATAACATCTTCTTAGGGATTCAAATTATCTCTACAGTTTTTTTTTTTTTTTTTTTTTTTTATTCACTGGTCAGCACTCAATCAAAAATAACAAGGCAAATGGGGAGATAAGACAATCTGATGGAAAAACCGAGACAGATGATAAAAACAAACCCATGGGGCAGCCAGATAATAGAATTATCAGAGACAGATTTTGTAAATGTTCTTCATAAAAGACATGATTAAGAATTTCACCAGCAATTTCACTGTACATAAATTATATTTCAATAAAATGTATTAAAAAAAATAAAGACTTTCACCAGAGGCTCAGGAATTACATTAAAAAAAATGTGATGGAAATTCTAGAAATCAAAAACTTTTCTAACAATGTAAGAACCCAGTGGATGATTTTAACAGCATGTTAGGTATAGCCAGAGACAGATTTTGCCAACTGAAAGTCAGGTAAATCAAAAGAAAATATCCACAATGAAGAATGTAGAGAAAAAATAGAGAAAAGAGCGTGAGCGTCAAATGGAATGTGGCAAAAAAAAAAAAAAAAAAAGAGAAAAGAGCGTGAGCGTCAAATGGAATGTGGCAAAAAAAAAAAAAAAAAAGTCACAGACAGAGTCTCCTAAGGAGAGAAGTGAGAAAATGGAGCAGAAGCAATATTTGAAGAGAGAATGACTGAAATGTTTCCCAAACTGATGAAAGTATTAATCCACAGATTGAAGAAGTGCTACAAATCCCAAGCTAAATAAATACAACCATACCAGGGAGCATCGTAGTCAAATTGCTGAAAACTAAAGGCAAAAAGAAAATCTTAAAAGCAGTCAAAAGAAAAGACATATTCCTCTAAATGAATAATAAGACTGTGGGGTGAGTTCTCAACAGGAACAGTAGAACACAAGAACAGAATGATATCTTCCCAGTGCTTGAGGCAGATACAGAACAAATGTTCCAGGATGTGTGTTCAAGGAGGTTTGTTGTAAGTGAAAGGTTGGAAATCTCCAACATGTCCAAAAGGAGGGACTACTGGAAAAAACATATACCTGGTGGGACTATAAAATGATTCAGTCACTGTAAACACAGTTTAACCATTCCCCAAACGGTGAAACATAGAATTACTAGGTGACTCAACAATTTCACTTGTAGTTATATACCCTAAAGACTTGAAAGCTGGTGCTCAAACAAATACAGGTACATCAGTGGCATGCTGGGGGATTGTGAACCTCACTGGGTGACACTGTCAGGGGATGATACCAAAATGACTGTCTATAAAATTTTTGTGCAGTGTTTTAGAAGAAATTTACTAATTTTTATAAAAATATCCCTGTAGTTAGTTATAACAACAGAAAAATTTTGGTACCTCCTTACAGGTATCAATGTACCTACAAGGCTTAAACTCTATGCTGATTTACTTTTTGAACCGTCTAATGTGCTCCAGTCAGAGCTGTCATTATTACCCAGTGACAATGGCGCTTCCAACCACGTGATTTTGTTTGCATGCACTACAAGCACGTGCTACTGCTTTTGTTGCTGACGGTCTTTTTGTAGTTGCTGATTTTGTCCAATTTTTTGGTGTTCTGTCTATAGTATTATGGTAATTAGTATTTTTGAATCTCTATCAATAACTTTTTTGAGAATGAAGTGTAGTGATTAAAGGAAAAGAAGGGGAAAAATTTTAAAAATTTCTGTTCAGTTACTAATAATGTTGTAACTAATGTAATTCAATATAGAAAGATTTTACACAACAATTTTGTTGTTAGTATTCATATAATCTAAGAAATATTACTTTTAAGTAGTTTACAACTATATCACATATTATTCTATGATTAAAATTGTTAGTAAACATTACTAAGGATTCTGTTGGGCCTGGTATGGGAGGAGGTATGTGAGGGGTGACTCCAAGCATTACCACACTGTGACAACAGCCCCAGTGACACCGTAAAGAGAAGTGAAGTTCTGATGTGTGCTACAACATGGATGAACCTTGAAAATACTATGTTAAGAAAGAAACTAGAGAAAGATCACCTCTTGTATGATTCCAGTTACATGAAATATCTATATTAGGTGAATCCATAGAGACAGTGTGCAGGTTGGTTGTTGCCAGGTGAAGGATGGGGAGCAGTGAGCGTGAGGTTTCCTTTGGGGTGATGAAAATGTTTTAGAGGTGGTGGGTATATAACATTGTGAACGTGCTAAATGCCATTATATTGTGCACTTTAAAATGGTTTATTTTATGTTAAATGCATTTCTCCTCAATTAAAAAAAAAATGTTGAATATTTACCTCCCTGTGGTCAACCGTGTATCGTGAAGAAGGATGCGATCTCTTCAGGTGGTGATGTGAAAAGATGTTCCAGATGCATCGTTAACTAAAAAGCTGCTTATGGAGTAACATGCAGCATGTGCTCCAATTTACAGTCACAAGAGTTAAATACGACTAAGTGTGAACAGTAGTTTAGCTTTGGGTGGTAGGACTGTAAGACACTTTTTCACATTCTCTATCATTTTTTTAGGATCACGTATTATCAGACAAAGATATTCCCATTTGAGAAAAGAAAACACAATCAGTCAGTACTTTAGAGTATGTGCTCTTTATTGGTCCTGGGTCCCTCTTGGAGGTGGAGTGATGAGGACAGTTAAGTGGATTTCATTACTTCTGTAGGCAAGAAACTCTGCAAGGAAAGGTTGGATAGGACCACTAGACTCAGATCCCTTAGCAGATCGTCTGCAATCTGGGGAGGATCAAGGTGAACAGTGCCCTTGGAGATGTGCATCTCAGTGGCTCTCATTGTATGAGAAGCATAAATCAGTGACTGTCCTTCTCTGATAGAGAGAAATTGCTAGTCAAAAGGCTGGCGGTTCAAACCCACCAGCCACTCCTCGGAAGGGAGATTGGACTATCTACTTCCATAGTGATACTGCCTAAGAAACCCAAGAAGGGGTCGCTATGAGTTGGATCTGACTCAACAGCACTGAGTTGATAAGAAATTTCAGAGTAATGTTAAGAACTGGGTTAACAAAAATTTTACTTTTTTCTCCCCCATACTAAAATGTCAGTCTAAAGATAAGAAATTAACATTATTCCTGTATCCTGAAGATACAAGAAATCTTTAGCATTGGTGAAATTGCAGTTCCTTGAGTCCAGTGCAGGGAAGTGGTAGGATAATCTCGATCTTTTGCGTTGCTAATAAGTTATGGAGTGATGCCATTTTGGGTAATAAAGTCTGAATTGTTTTTCTAGGCCGAGAGATCCGCCTGCCCCTCCGAATCAAAGGGGAAGGAATGGGACCTAAGATTCATTTCAACTTTGAGTTGCTGGATATTGGGAAAGTTTTCGTTGGATCTGTACATTGTTATGAGGTAAGCAGTAGAATCCATTAATTGAGACCTTTAACAACACTCTGCTTTTTTGTGTGTTACTTTTTGCTTGTTTTCATTTTATAGAAAATCTGTGTCGTTGCCTTCCTTGGCCTTCCTCATGCCAGCTCTCTTCTGTTCAGACCCTGCGTTGCTCTGACACTTCCTCCTCTCTCCTGGCCTTGTTGAGGGAGCAACCTTTCCCGACCTCGCAGCTTCCTCCAATCGTGCTAAGAGCTAGAAAACATCAAAGCCACCAGTTAATTGGTCGTATCCTCATCATATTGCATATTGCAAAGGGGAGAACCACAAACACGTCTCCCCATCTGTTTAGTGCTCATTCACTGACAACAAATTCTGCAGATCAGAGGATAACGAACCTTTTACATTTTCCAGAACACCCTAATGAGGATAGCTGTTTCACACTTGAGAATTTTCTCAGAATGCACTGTATTCTCCAATCCACATTGCAAAAACCAGTCGTGGTTTCTGAAAGAGAGCTCCCTGCTTCATCCAATGAAGCAGGAAGATGGTTTTCTGTGCTGTCCTTATGGGTTCTTCAGGATCCTCAGTATCACCTCATCATTAAATTTGTATCTAGGGCACTTTGTTATGCTATATCACACTATACTCATTGAAACTTTGTATTCTTATAAAGGTAATAATAAAAGCATGAGGGATTTTTTATAGGAGGTGGTACTGGAGGTGACATGTATCACTTTCATTCACATCCTATTAGCTATACCTAACTGCATGGAAGGCTGGGAAATGGGATCAGTGAACAGCAAACCCGACTCTGCCACAGGCATTAAGTAACTTGGCAAGGTAACACAGCTAGTTAATGTTGGGGAGCACTGGGTTACTAGGGCTCTATACGCTATCCTGAAAGAGAGGACCCTTTGCTGGCCTTTTAGGCTCTCAGCATCCCACCTCTTCACCTGGGGCAAGGCTGGCCTGCACCCAACCCTGCTTTCAGCTACAGCCTAACCTGGCACTGGGAGCTAAGTGTCCAGGGTTGTTGAGAGCTACCTATGGTTTCTTTCGGGAGTTCTGGTGGCATAGTGCCTAGGGCATTTGACCGCTAACGAGAAGGCTGGTGGTTCAAACCCACCAGCCATTCCTCGGAAGGTTGGGCAGTCTACTTCCATAGTGATACTGCCTAGGAAACCCAAGGAGGGGTTACTATGAATTGGATCCGACTCGACGGCAGTGAGTTAGTTACGGTTTCGTTCATCTCCACATTTACTAGGGTGACTCTTGCCTTAAGGGGATGGTGTGTAAGTTAAACAGAGTTGCTGATATAATGATCATACTCATTTGAATGAGGAACTCAGTCACGTGACTGACCTAATACTGAAGGTGCACAGCTACTGTGCTGCAGTGTCCTGTATTGCACTTTGATAAAGGCGGGATAAAAAGATATAGTAGTTTTAATTACACTGATTTCTGTCTGTAATTTACGCAGTGAGAATTCCCCTTCTCCATTACACACTGCACCTTATGGACAGCACATCAGGATTTTTCTATCTGATCCAGAATGGATAGGGTTTTCCTGAGTGTAATAATTTCTTACAAATTTGACAAGCGTACTTTGTGCCACCGTTTCCCACCCTCCCAGATTTTAAACTAAAGCATACCATCGCAGCCAGATAGGTGTGAAATGAGGTGATGCATCCCCTGGCCAGTTCTAGAGCTGTGCAGGGCAGAGACGTGCATCGCCCTGGCCAGTTCTAGAGCTGTGCAGGGCAGAGAAGGACACGGTAAGGTGCTTCTTATGGTGATGTTTTGCACTCTCTACATATTTAATGCTGATGCCTCATTGCAGCTCTCTTTCAATTTATTACATTACCTACTCGAGACAAATTTGAATAACCAGCTATTGCCCTTAGTCATTGCTGAGCTTAGCAGATACATAAGGAATAAGCCATAATCCCCACGAGTATACACTATTCCCCAGTGTAATTAAGAAGCAACACAGACGAGTGGTGAAGTTCTATTATAAATATTCTCCAGCAGGAAGAGTGCTACTACATCAAGGGATGTGCACCTAATGTTATGAAACAAAATGAGTATAAATTGTTGATTGGAAAGCTAATTTGCTCTGTAAACTTTCATCCAAACCGCAATTTAAAAAATCGGGGAGGGGGGAGGCTAAATAAATAAATACTCTGCTCTTCGAGGAGTTATGCTGCAAAGGTAAGGTATTACCAGTCATCCAGACAGGAGAACTTTGCCCCAAACAGTATTCTGGAGTCTTTATACGTAAGTAGCTGTTCCTTTGTCGGGGGGAAGAATGTCATGCATACTAATGAGAATAAGGAGCTGATACACCTTATAGAAATTCTGGGTAAAACGTTGTTGTTAACCCAAAATGAGAGGAGCTGTGCGTCTTCTCAGAAAGGAACAGAGTCCTGAGCCACTTCTGTCTGTCAGCACTTCTCAGCCACAGGTAAACCTTACACTGATCCTGCTTTGCACTGGGGTATAAATCACAGTGCTCTCATTTATTAGCACTGTTTGCCAGGCACTGTTCTAAGTTACATGAGAAGTAGTACAAGTAACCCCATTTCATGGATGTGGAAACTAGGGCACAAGAGAAACTAAATAAGCTGTACAGGTTTAACCCCCAAACCAAACATGTTGCCATCCAGTTGATCCTGACTCGTAACAACCCTATAGGACAGAATAGAACTGCCTTGTAGGTTTTCTAGGAGCTCTGGTGGTGTAGTGCCTAAGGCATTTGACTGCTAACCAGAAGGCTGGCGGTTCAAACCCACCAGCCACTCCTTGGAAGGAAGACTGGGCAATCTCCTTCCATAGAGATACCACCTCAGAAACCCAAGGAGTTGCCATGAGTCGGGATCAACTCCATGGCAGTGACTTTGGTTTGATTTTTTGGTAGGTTTTCCAAGGTTGTATTCTTTACTGATGCAGAATGCCACATCTTTCTCCCATAGAACAACCAGTGGGTTCAAACCAAGCACTTAACCACTGTACCACCAGTGCTGCCTTGTACGAGGTTACACAGCTAGTAAGTCAGTGGCAGAACTGGGATTTAAACTGAGGCAGTTTGGCTTCAGAGTTTTTTTTTGTTTTTTTTTTAAAGGAAAAAAAAGTAATTTTGTTAGAATACCATTTGGGGCAAAGGTCTCCAGTCTGGAAACTTTTTAAAGGAAAAAAAAAAAAAAAAAGGATAAGGCATGATTCCTACTACTAGTGAACTTAAAACAGAGAGAAAGCAATGGGAAATATACATTAAAAAGATGAATAAAATATCAAGCATCTGTTACATGCCTATTTGTTGGGACACATGTCCCTCTTATCTTTGCTGAAGTAGTTGTCTTCCTCTACAAGGGACCCTGACCCTTTCTACTTCATAGATGCCCTTGTTTCCCTCTTCCTGCTTCTCGGGGGGTAGCCTCAACACATGGGCCCATTCACCTGCACCTCTGCCCAAGCCCCTTGGTGACCTGGCCCTGTTTTCTTACAACAGCAACAACAACAAACTTGCACGCGTGCTTACTCTAGCTCAGCCACTGAGTCAGGCACTAATACATGTCATCTCATTTAATATAAATAGACTCCTCTGTCATACCTCTCATGGCTTTGCCACCCCTTTCTCACTTTTCACCACTAATCTTCCCCAAAGAGGGATCTGGAGTAGTCCTTCCGTACTCACTGCCTAAGCATTTGTACTCTGGCTTCTGCAGTCACACTCTATTAGAATTGCTCCATTCTTCAAAATCATAGAAGACCTCTAATTAAAAGTAAAAAGTCTGTAGCCTTTTCATAGAGCTGATTCTTCTTGACCTCTGTGCACATCTGCCCCCTTCTGGAAGTTCTCCTTTCACCTTCAAGTTCCTGACATGCCCAACTTTTCCTGCTCCCTTTCTCAGTGTGTCTTCACAGTCTCCTGTGTTCTTTGTCCCCCAGTGCCTTGAGTCCAGACGAGTGTAGGTTATGTCCTACGCACTTTGAGAGAACATGCTGTTCACCAGTTCAGGTGCAAAGACACCGCTGACACAGGGTAGGGGTGTCTTCGGAAGCACAGGGTCAGGAGCAGGAGACTGAGGCCAGATGTGAACTCTGAATGCCAGATAGGAGGTCTTCACACACAAAGTCTAGTTCATATATAACCAATTATAGGCAACAGTACGGTTCCAGAACACTAGCATACATGAGTAAAACTCTTCTATAGCAAACAGTTCCTTGCTTATAGCATCCCAAAAGAATTATCCAGTAGAGGTTGAGATGAAAATATCCCAACTGGATGAAATCTGATAGCACAGCAGAGAGAACCCTTGCCCTAGGGAATCCGCAATGAAGTCTCTTTCACATTATTCAAACTACATTATAAGCATAAGGCTAGGTAGTTCTTACTTCTCTGTTCCTTCTGACTTTTTATTTTTCAGTATGCCACCTAACCTCAGCCTTTTTATGTGTGTAACAAAAATACCAACCTTCTCCAGTTATGTCATAGAGAATATTTTTTAAAAAGTATTTTGAAGCTCTTCATCAGTAGATGTGATTATGATCAGTCTTTATAACAAGACTATAAAGAATGCAATCTATCCATTCTGAAGAGTACAATGAAAATACAAAATTACTTTCTGCCTTGGGATTCCTGTCTTCAGACTTATTCAAGACATCAGGCTGTTGATTCTCCTCTAGAGCTTTTCTTTGGTTCTGATTCCTGCAACTTTCTCTGGGTTGACTGGTGTCAAACAATACAACCACATGATTAGATGAAATCCATCAGTTGAGGAAAGAGAGGTCTATTGTCTGCCTTTCCATTCTTGCCTTTTTATTGAAATAGACGATACTATCCAACAAAGGCAGCATCGATGCCCTCTTCAACGTGATGCCTCCAACCACAGCTTTGGGAGCCTGCTTTGTTTTCAGCCCCAGAGAAGGCATCATTGAACCAAACACCGTCCAAGTGATCCAGATCTCCTTCAGTTCTGCCATCCTGGGGCACTTTGAAGAGGAGTTCCTGATCAATGTCAATGGATCTCCTGAGCCTATGAAACTGATCGTTAGGTAAGGTACATCTATAACCGTTGTGGAAACTAGTTATCATTTTTTATCTACTGCTTTCTTGAAATTCAAAACTAGATCATATCCTGGATACCTTTAACTATTTTTGTTAACATAAGCACACCAATAAATTTGGGTATTTTAAATTTCCACCAGTGTTTCCCTAGTGAAAATGTGTAACTCATTGTTGTAATATGGATGCAAATGCTATCCTCAAGATCTATTTTTTCAGTAAGATATAACCTTATAAAGTAAGGATTTAACCTCAAGCTGTTTTCTAATTGCTCTCTATGTTTTAGGATGTTTAGGGAAAATAAATTATTAGAGTAACTACTGGAGAAAAGCATGTTCTTGACCAAACTTTGGTTGTTATCACAGTTTCTCTAAACCTTTGCTTTCATTTTCATTTTAAGGAAATTCTTTAAATGCTCTTACCGATGATGCCTGCAGGCATTACAAAAGAGTCTACTTTTAGTGTCAGTCAACCAAGGCTAGGCACTGGAAGCTTTTGTACTAGAAGTCTTTTTATGGCTTCTCCAGCTGCTTGTGATAATTGAAAGTCATTAATATCAGAGTTTGTCCTCAGATTTTGAAAAGAAGTTCTCTGTTACTAACCCATTGGGCATATCTATAACTTTGATTCCTGGCACTTAGAAAGGGCATATCTTCAGAAGGCATTGCTCTGACTCTGTTTGGATTCTTACTGCAGCAGGTTGTTAATTACCATGGTGGTCTCTTATTATGGTTACTGCTAGCAGGTCCTCTCTCTGTCTACAGCTTCTCTCTCTCTAGGGGCTTGAAGGTAACACAGAAAAGAGACAGACACATTTGGACCCTAGGAAGCGCTATTGATCTCATGATATTTACTGAAAATTCTGAATCTTAAGATCACCTCAAAGGTGATTACCATTTCTTCTCAAACACTTCCACCTATGTATCCCCAATACCCGAAGGGAGTGACTGCATGTACCTCAAGGATTCTGTGGTTTGGCCAAGCAACCTGCCACAATCATAGATTTTTTTAAAAGATTTATCTTAATCTTTCATATGACAATTGTATTATCTTCCATAATTCATCTGTGTTTGTTATAATAGTGAAAAAATGAGGTTGCTTTCCCAATATTCGAATAACATAGAATCTTCAAGAATATGGATTGTATTTATCCTGGCACATGATTGATATCCTTTAGGGATGTGTATAGTATGGGAAGGATGGGAGTACATTTTCATGTTGTGTGACCTTCAGCCCATCTCCCACCTTCACAACAACTCACATTTCATCTCAAGGAATGGATACAACATAATGAAACTGTTGAAAGCCAAAGAGAGAGAGAGGATCTTGAAAGCGAGGAGAGAATTCATCATGTGAAAGTGATCATCAATAAGATCAGCTGCTTATTTCTCATCAGAAACCCTGGAGAACTGAAGGCAGTGGGTTGAAATATTTAAAATGCTGAAAGAAAAAGACTGTAAACCAGGAATGCTGTATCCAGGAAAGTATCCTTCAAAATTAAGAAGAAATTAAGACATTCCCAGATGAACAAAAGTCTGTGAGAATTCATCACTAGCAAACCCACCCTGCAAGGAATAATACAGAGAGCCCTTTAGACTGAAATGAAAGGGCACTGGACAGTAAGTAACTAAACTCCACATAAAGGACTAAGGTGAACAAGTAAAGATAACTACATAGGGAAATAGAAATGACAGTATAAATGCATATTTATAATGTTTTAAATCAGATTCCTATCTGATTTAAAAGTACAATAAAGCAATAATTGGAAATCTGTGTTGATGACTGTAAAGTGTATAAAGACGCAGTTTGTATGACAATAACAGCACAAAGTAGAGAGAGCAAATGGCACTATATACAAGCAGTGTGTTTGTATACCATTGAAATTAAGTTGGTATTAACACAAACTAGATTGTCATTAAGTTACTTGTAATACATGTTACTTGTAATCCCAAGGCAAACCACTAATAAACTAATAATTACTCAGGAAAATAAAATAAATAGCAAGAGAATTAAAACGTTACACTAGAAAATATGCAACATGAAAGACATCAGTAGTAGAAGAACAGAGGAAGAAAAAAGATACAAGCATATAGAAAATAAACAGCATGATGGAAGAGGTCAAAGTAAATGGCTTAAACATTTTCCTTATCAGTCCAGTTTAAAGACACAGATTAAAAGAGTGGATTAAAACAACATGATTCCATGATATGCTGTCTACAAGAAACACAAAACAGGTTGAAAGTGAAATGATGGAAAAAATACATCATGCAAAATAGAAGTACAATGACTATAAATATCAGACAGAATCGACTTTAGGAGAAAAGTTGTTATTAGAAAAAAAAAGATTTTATAGTAATGAAAGGGCCAATCCATCAAGAAGATATAAAAACTATAATCATATATGTACTTAAGAAAATACAGAAATAAAAACAGACCCGAAGGCAGAAATAGATGGTTCAACAGCAACAGCTGAAAGCTTCAGTATTTTATTTTCAGTGATGGAAAGAACAACTAGGCAAGAGATAATAAGGAAACAGATGATTTGGACAAAATTATGAGCTAGCTAGACCTAAGAGACATATGGCAGTCCCTGAGTTACAAAGTATATCATTCCTAACTGTGTCTTTAAGAAGCTGTAGGTCACTCAGACCAGGGGCATCCAGTTCTCATTTAGCTGAGTTTAGTGCAAGAAAACACTGGAAGCTTTTTCAATGATTTAAGAGCTGCATGTGTAGTAAGTGAAAGTGATTGTGAAGAATTTATTGTGAGTAGGAGTTGGTTCAGTTGTTTGACAAGGCATAGTTACATAACAGTAAAGCAAGGCCTCAAAGATGGCAGGGCCCCACTCAAAGATGGCAGCTGGCTGCACCGGTTCGAATATATATAGCTCTCCACAGTCCTGCCAATAATCCAGTCTCACACATCAAACTCCTGAAAAGGCTCACTCTGTCTATTCTGAGCCTTGCATTCCAGGGCTTTTACCTATAATTTTTCCCATTCCATTTACAAATGACAAATCACCCAAATTATAAAATTCTCATCTATTCCTGTTTTGCTTTGTTGCCTATGAAAGAATCAGTTCAAAGCCCTGCATTAAAGGGCAAATAGGAATTGTCCATACGTCAAACATTCGTCACCCTGAGATTGCCTGTATATAAAACACTCTACCTAATAACAGCAGAGTGCACATTCTTTTTAAATGTACATGGAACCTTCTCCAAGGTAGATCACATATTAGGCAATAAAACACACCTCAATAAATTTAAAAAGATTGAAATCATACTAAGAATGTTGTTTGGTCACAATGGAATGAAATTACAAGTCAGTAACAGAAGGAGATTTGGGGAAATTCACAAATAAGTGAAAGTGATATATTCTTAAAAACAAAAAATTGGATATCAATGGATGCATGGATAAACAAAATGTGGAATATACACACAATGGAATACAACTTGCCATAAAGAGAAATGAAGTCCTGATTCATAACCACAATATGGATGAACCTTGAAAACATCATGCTGAGTGAAACAAGTCACAGAAGGGCAAATACTGTATGATCTCATTTATGCGAAATAAGCAAATATATAGAAACCAGAGATTATTTGTGGCTATCAGATGTGGGAGGAAGGTGGAAAGGAGGAGTTTTTGCTTAGGAAGCATTGTTTTTGTTAATGGTAGTGGAATGCTTTAGAAAAGGATACAAAGAATGGTGGTACAACTTGAAGAATGTAATCCATATCACTGAACTGTACACGTAGAAATTGCTGAGTTGGGTTTTCCACTCCATGTCATAAGATTTAGGAATCTCCTAGAATGCTGTTCAGATGAACATGGACTAGTTAATACTCAAGTTGGCCTGTTGAGGTCAAGTCTCGTGTTCTATCCTCTGGACATTTCCATTTGCTAAAACTCCATTCTCCTCTCTTATTTTGAATTTTCATTCCTGGTCTCTTTCAAGGGGAAAGTCAACCTGACTGTGTAAAAATTGTTTAGGGGACTTCATGCTCAATCTAACCACATATTGTTAAGAGAAATATACTTGTGTAAATTTCCTTCTCCATTTTATTCTCTTTAAAGCTCAATATTTCACCTGTCCACACATGTTCTAGCACTTCAAACCACAAATAATTTTGAAAAATTGTTTTCAAGAATAAATTCTGGAAGATGGTAGAATAGGCAGACAAGCTACACAGATCTTCTTCAACAAAGATAAGAGAAAAACTAATTGACAGAGATACAGAAGATAATGCTTGAGTCCTGAGCTTTGAAAAGAAGTATACAGAAGTGTATTAGGCACCAACTAGTAGAAAAACCGGAATGAAAACAGTGAGTGTGGAGATGGATAGAGCTGTGGGCTGTCACATACTCTGATGCGACCAATAGCCTTAATATTTCCAAGTGGTATTGAGACCTGAGAATTGACATAAAGATCAGTTCTGGTCACCAAGGGCTGCAGGGTTGACTGTACTGGTGGCCTGTGACTAGGAAGGGAAGCAGCATGGAGGGAGACAACCTGAGCTGTGGACTTTTGGCGGTCTGGAGGGTATAGCCATTTTGAATGTTTACAAGCAGTAGCCATTTTGGATTTTAAAGTGACAGCATTCTCACTTTAAATAGACCTAAGAATAGGCTCTATTTGCCAAGGATGGCAGGGACATATGGGAGGCTGACAACAGGAAAGGAGACAGGTAGTGAGTGTATGTTGTTGTTGTTGTTGTTATGTGCTGTCGAGTCGGACCCAACTCATAGCGACCCCTCCTTGGGTTTCCGAGGCGGTATGACTGCGGAAGTAGATTGCCCAACCTTCCTTCCGAGGAGTGGCTGGTGGGTTTGAACCACCAGCCTTCTGGTTAGTAGTCAAGTGCATTAGGCACTAAGTTACCAGAGTGATTGTATAAGTGCTGCCAACCAGTGAGTAGAGGAGCACAGTACCCTGCTTATGTATAACATCCAAACAAAGAAAATGAAAAACATGGGCAAGTCACTCCAA